TTAGATATATCACATGGCCTGCCAACATTAACTCAAAGAGCTAAGCAGTAATGTCTAAAATAATTTTCCCCTGAATGTCATGTAGAAAAATCTTCCTACTGAGAGGGGAAGAGACAAGGTCATTCCATAGGAGACAACCCTCTGGCATGACTGTTTGGACACTGTTTGTCCTGGAACTTCTTATTCATCTTTTTTCCTCGTCCAGCTATTTTGCCCTCTAATACCAAGAGTACTTTCCACGTTGGCTGAGCATTTCTGAAGGCAAAATAAAGACAAATGGAAATGGATTCACTCTGAGTGCCACTTTTATAATTACTTCCTCCCTGTTTCTTGATATTAGAAGTATCAAATTGTTACCTGTACAGTCTTGTGATCATTATGGTAAAACCTGAGAAGGTAAATTACCAAAGTAATTCCCCCAAAGTAAGGCCCCAAAAAATGCATTTGCCAGAGTGTATCACAAACTCTAGAACGGACCAGTGGCCGTGTCTTGCCCAGAGGAATAGACAGAAACGTTTTCTGTCTCCGACTCTGACATGCAGGATCTCATCAGTCAGCTTGCAGCGGTGCTGATGACAGCCAAGGATAGCTTGGATCCAAATTCCTCCTTATTGGGACCAGGAGTATGTGGTGATTTGCTTAAGAGTTTCTTCTGGCTTTGATGCTTGCGCAGCTCTAGTGGGAAAAGGCAACTGAACAGTTAGAAACGAGCAGCTTAAAAATAGATGTTTGTTCACTTAATTGCTCATGAGGCTGCTCATTTAATTTCTGCCATTGCATCCGAGGCTATTCCCAGAAATTATATATAATTGAAGTGCCTTGTCATCTGCAGAGAAAATTTGAGCTTATTATTGCTAGGCAGGATGAGCCCTTTCATATTGACAGTTCACCAGAGAAAGCTGCGGAGGTTTGTGTGATAAAGATGTTTTAGATCGTGGGGGAAATTGATTTATTTTGCATTATTGTTGGCCCTCGTGAAACATGCATTGAGCAGAGAAGTTTTCACCTGGACACAGGGTGTCCAAGAGCATCTGGATGCTGCAGAAAATGGGATTTTGACTCATTGGGGGTACTTTCCCTTCTGAGTCAGCACCAGCTCCTGGGGCTGCTGTGATATCCCGGCCTCTGCCTTGGGAAGTGCTGGGTGTTTTCGAGTGTTTTAGCAGCAAAGTGCTGACTCTTCCTGGGGGTTACAGATTCTGTGAAACATTTTGTACTCCTGGCGTTGTGCCACGTGCTGTATGGAAAATATGCTGCTTTATCGTGCGCGTGTGCATGCGGGGGGTGCGAGGGTGAGCGCCTGCAAAGCTTTCCACGTATTTTATCTGTTGTGGAATTAAGCAACGCGCGATGAGCGCCCAGGCGCCGAGCCTGGATCTGTCACTGTGGACATGATCCGTGTCTTCTGAGGCTCTGTGATGGACGGTGTCTCCCCTGGCATGCTACGAGTGTGGTGCTGAGGGGCTGGCACTAGGGATGGCACTGAGGGGACAACATGGTGCTGCCCGCGTCCGGAGGAACGCCTGGGATGGCAGGTGGCCACCCCGACACGGCCGCTCTGC